GCGGTTTGGAAATTGATGAAAGTATATATGCATCGGGATACCTCCCTTTGACTTGGTCAAAGGATTGTAGGACACCGGTGTCCTTTTCATATATATTTTTCTGACGCTGTAATTACAAGTAAAACATATATTTTGGTATTTTTTAATTATAAAAAATAGTCTAACAGTTGCTAAAAAAATCTGTTACATTATCTGAATAATATTTGAACTGAAATATAAAACACAAAAAAAGTAATTTTTCCATTAATATTTTATTTTATGCAAAAATTTATCAATAATTGATTTTCTAAATTGAAGAAATTTCAGTGATGAATAACTGTTTCTTTTGGACCTAAATAACTGCTAATGTCAAAAAGTATTGTTTGGAAGTGAACCGTGTGTGGAAGAGTTTACATTTAAAGCAGAAAAAGACACCTGTGTTTCATGCAGTATTTCATAACCATAAATTATTGCAGTGCGTGCTAAATATAATCTTTTCCCCTTTTTTGACCTAAATTAATACAAAATAATGAAAAAAGCTTAAAAATATGTTTAATAAAAATTCTGGTTAAAAGGGTGAAATAGATACAGAGACATGTTTGTGGGAAAGGATTTTATAGTGGTAATAAAATTTATGTTTTAATCTTTGATTCTTGGTTTAGTAAAGTCTACTTAAAAGGGTTTTTACCCATTATTACTTTTAATAATTCAAAGACTCATATAAAATGCCGGTTTATCAGTGTTAGTACATGGTGAACTTTTTGGAAGAAAAAAAAATATCTCAATTTTAGAATGTATGTATGAATCTCTACAACTTTATGAATTCTTTCGCGGAAAGCGGAGATGATAGCATGTATAATTTTGTATTTTAGAATTACAATGTAATAATTATTACTGTGAAGCCGGTGGTGAGATTAAATTAAAGAGAATCCAATATTCTAATTTACAAATATTTTTTAGATGCTTTTATATCTTTTAGATTAAAAAAACAAGATATCAAATAAAAAAACCAAAGAGCCCGTTTTATTTCTAAAATGCAAAATGTTTCAAATCTTGTTTTTTTTTTTTTTTTTAAATTTTCTTTCTTCAGAAAAAAGCTTAAAATAAGAATAATTGAAGCATACTGCTAGTTCTATGCTATAAACAAGCTTTATCTTCACTGCGAAAACAAAGAAATAAAAGGAGGCTACATCCATCCATAGTTTATGTACTGCGATCAGTCATTCCTGAGCGTGTTTCCATTATGCATGTATTATTGTGGTTGAGAATGATGAAGCAATATTTTGATCTGTCGCATAACGGAGTGTCATTGTTTTCTTCAGTTTTTTTTTCTAGCAAAATTCTTTTCAAATAAATATGCTTACATTTGTTGTTTAAATAAAACTCAAGACAATGATGCAACTTGAATATACAAATTACATTGCTTCATATTTTTTTTTTTTGGTCGCTATTGCAAATGTAACACATTACAATCTAGAAAACTAGAATAATTTAACGTAATTATAAATTATATACAGAGAGACCACTTAATTATGATACCTGACAGTTTTATGCAAAAGAGTTATTGTATAAAATGTTGCTTCTAGAAGTAATTTCTAGATGACTAGTGCAGTGTTGGCATGAGTTGAGATCTTTATTTCGTGTGCACAGTAGTCTTAATCCGAATAAAACCTCATACCTAATCGTTGACAAAGTACATCTTGTAGTCCTTATGAATCAGGGCTTCCAGCAGGATAATGAGTCCCGTTATAATGCTGGAATCGTCTTGCCCACCCTGGTATACTGCTGTTTTGGTTTGAGAAACATAATGGAAAGATTTCTTAGTTGCTTTGGCTTCTGCTGTTTCAAGTTGTCAATCTTATTGAGCATTTGTGAGATGAGATCGAAAGAAATATCTTGCATCTATCTCCATAACTGTCACGTCTCACATTTTGGATAGTGGTATAAATGTTTCACTAATAACGTATCAACATCTCGTCTTGCCAACAAAAACCCAAACTGTATTAAACGGGGAAACAGGTGATCAAATGAGGCAGTGGAGTTTTGACCTAATAAAGTGGATAGTCAGTGAATAGTAGTCATTAAGTTGGTTTACATTGACTAACCTGTTTCAATAGTCTTCTTTCGCGTTGATCATTTTAATCGCTGAATATTTTGATGCACAAGGAAAAACAAAATTCAGGGTCATTCAAAATTACCTTTCCAATCTGACGCAACATGTCTGTAGGAATAAATATGAAAACGAAGTACTGTTGCTTGCATATAGTTCACAATCAAACAAATTATTTTTACGTAATTTTTCTTATTTGTTCATAAAATATTGAAACGATACTGCTGTTCTACTCAGGAAAAATCCGATAGGTCTGTAATATTTATGTGGATTGTGATTGTGGAAAGGACAATTCGTGCCCCTAAATCATTTAAGAATCTTGTTGTTCGCTGACAATTGCTTTTGTAACAAAATTTTTTTATAAAAAAATGTTTTCATTACTTCACAAAAATACTTAAAGGACTGCTGAGATATGAATTTAACAGAACTTATTTTATTTATATTTTATGTTGCAGATCGTGAAAATTGAAAAAGAATGTTTTTGAGTTGTTCATAGTCGTTCATTAGACTGAACGTTTTAGTATTTCTGCATTACGATTTCCCAAATATTTGTTCCTTCGAAGCTTGTAAAATGGAATTGTATAGTAATGTAAACTCGCGAAAGATCAAATAAAAACAGAATAATACAGTACTAGCCAAAATATTAAAATAGTTTAATTTTCGCATAATTTAACGATTGTGAGAGTAAAAAATTAGAATTTTTTTTAAACACATTTTATTTTTTTTCCTGTTATTTGACCAATTTATTATTTGGTATGCCCCCCTCTTTACTCAGGACTGAGGCTTAGATCTGACGAGGCATTGACTCGATGTAGTAATGCCATACTTTTATTTACACAGTCCTTAGTTTATTTTTATGCGGAAAATTAGTAGATGGGAAAAAATTCACTACTATAATTTACTTTCATTTATTTATCTTTTAGTTCAAATATTTTTATTCTTATAAAAATAAAGATTTTCTTTAAACATGTACATGAACCTTTTAAAAATAAATCCGGATCTTAAAATTATTGTCTTTTGAGGAAATATCATTGCAAATTTGAAATGCGAGGGAAAAAAATCAAATCATTATGATAATTTGGCCGATACCATATGCGGTTTGGAAAT